TGAAGAAAGCAACGGACAGAAGAACGAGGAAGCACTAGGCTTTTCGTTTTAAATGCGTTCACACGCATGCCAGCCTCATTGCACTCGGCTGTCTTACTTTCCACGCCGGAGGCGGCGAATCATCTGCAATAATACCTTTTTTGCCGTCTGAAAATTCGACTCCAACACAAAAAATCAGCTTTCTCTGCCACTCTGTGCGTTTCTTCATTCATTCAAGTTGAAAAACCTTTGATTCTAAGCCACTTCTTGAATGTATTCTCCTTTTGCTGACGGTCAGTTGAACATTAGTGTCCCTAGAAACGTCTTTTCCGACCTTCAGCGGCAGGCCAACCCGTTTTAAACCGCACGATTCGGCTGAAACTCCAAGTGATCCTCTTTTAAAGGGCTTCCTTTTGGTTTCCACTAGATTTCGTTTGAAGTTTCGCCCTGATATCCGCAGAAGATGATGTTTCCCACTTGATTCTGTAGCTGTTTTTGCCGCCAGGACTTCGCATGGTACTCCATCGTTTGCAACGAAGCGGCCAAGAACAAAATGTTGATCGGCTTACAACTCTGCACCTCTGTTAATGCGAACCTCTATACAGAGCTTCGTAAATGACATGATGGGATTACTACGCGTTTCTGGGATTACGGCGATATAATTTATGTTGATCAGATCGGGTTGGGATCGATCATATTTTCTGGAGAAGTTAAAAAGTTCAATTTATAGGCTATAATTTTTAGAAAAGTTAAAAATATCAACCTCTGCTTATTTCTGGAGTGTTTTAAAAACAGAGTAACTCAAAATATCAGTCCTCACTGTCCTCAGTAGATGTACAAATTGGCATGAAGGCTGCCCCTGTTTTAGTCAAATTGTTTGAAAATAATCCTTTCACTTTTCCCCCTAGCTTCTCATGTGGGAGCCGAAACACGTGACTCTGACCAGGGGCCAAGCGTGTAACATGGATTAGCAAAGATGATGCAGATCTACGATCTGAGAAGAAGTGTTCTATCTGCTGCTTTAGAGGAAATGTGTTGGAAAGCTTAGAATGCATCGACCAGCACAAACCGGATCTGCCACTAATGCGAACGGCTCAAGGTTATGGTCATGAATAACAGCAACAGCTTCATGCTTTTATTCTATCTTCAGTACTTCAGTACCACTTGAAGGGGTGGCATAATCATAAGAGGTGGGCTTCGTTCTCAAGAGTGCCCGGTTGGAATCTCGAAAATCGAAAAAGAATTTCTTTTAACTGTTTATTCCCTTGAGTACGGATTTCACCCCTCGTTGCA